TCATCTCTCCTCCTGACTTCCCTGACTTCCTTCAAGTCCCAGCTAAAACCCCACCTTATCCAAGAAGTTTCTCCTGGTCCTCTGTAATTTAATGCCTTCCCTCTGTTGATTATCTACCTGATTATTTATCCTGTGTATAGCTATCTGTGTATAGTTGTTTTCATATTGTCTCCTGAATTAGACCATCAGCTCCTCGAAAGCAGGGACTGTCTTTTGCCTTTCTTTGTATTTCCAGTGCTCAGCACAGTGCCTGGCACGTAGCAAGTGCTTAATAATGACTGAATGACCCATCACAGACTTCTCTGTTGCTCTTTGTGTGAAACTCATCTCAATTCCTTTGGAGGCAGGTAGTGTTCAAGTCTTACTGCCACACAGCAACACTGGTAAATTATTAGAATTTGAAAGATGAGCTTTTACTTTCTTTCTTTCTTTTTTTTTTTAGGGGCTTTTAGGGGCTTTTTCATGGGAAGCTTTGCAATTTCCTGAAAGTAAACCAACTCTCTCCTCTCCCTTTTCAATTCTGGGCTCAGCTCATCGTCCATCTGTCCTAGGTATACAAACTAGTGTTGAAGTTCTATCGGGTACTCTTCAAATCATCTGTTGAAATTGCAAAAATATGCATTCTTCATCTGCTTTGTCTTTTCTGTGCAGATGGACAGGCCAAACTCCTTTGAATGGTTACAGATTTCTTCCAGGGTGTTTACCCTTGATCAAATAAGCACAATTTTATCCATGAACAGGAGCCTCTGAAGCACTTCACCATCCACAAGGAATCTCTCCTCAACCTGGATTCTGCACTGGATCTCCTCCATTACAATGCAAACAAACAGCTTTATGCTTCACTTGATGTTTATTATCAGTAAAAAAAAAAAATCAAAATAACCATTCCTGCTTTTTCAGTTTCCAGGGAATCCTGTATGATCTTGGTGTATGAATGACAAGCCACACCTTGCTGTCAAAGAGCCCAGAAGATGGCATTTCAATCTAATTAAAATAATAATTTGAGGCAGGGGTGTTGTAGTGGGAGAGAGAGCTGGCTACCAGGAGAACCTGGGATCAAGTCTTTCCTTTAACACAGACTGGCTGTGTGATTCTGAGTAAGTCACTTAACCTCTCGATGCCTCAGAAACTTCTCTGAGACCATAATTTAGAGATAAGGTGCTGATCTTCATTGGCAGAGAGAGTTTTGTTACCTGGAAATTCTTGATACCAGTGAAATTACAGGGTGTAGTCTCTATCCCTAAAATAATATGCCAATCAAATATAACATTGCCATGAGAGTCTAACCCAGTTTGAACAAGAAGGATCTTGGTTTAGATGAGGGAGGAGAAGCAAAGGACATTCTTTTCTTTCTTTCTTTTTTTTTGTTTTAGGCAATTGGGGTTAAGTAATTTGGCCAGGGTCACACAGCTAGTAAGTGTCAAGTGTTTGGTCTGAAGCTTGATTTGAACTCAGGTCCTCCTGACTTCAGGGCTGGTGCTCTATCCACTGTGCCACCTACATTCTTGATTAGGGTCTGAGACGTCTCAAGTATCCCCTACACCCTCAAACTTCATGGTAGTTTGTTTCCTTGACTCCACTCAGGGAAACCTGTGTACTATCCCTTCCTTGATCCAACTCAGTGTAAGGAAATGCTGTATTGGTTAAGCTTTTCCCGCTTCTCACCTCCAACGTACCTACCACCCATACAATTCTCTTTTTTTCTCCAGCCAAAATGGCATCACATTTAAGACATATACCCCCTTTACTGCCAAGTCTCTCCAGCACCAACTCTCCCCTACACACACATTCATACACACACACACACACACACACACAGTCATAGCACACATCTTAAGATGAGGCAGCTAGATAGCATAGTGAATCAACCTCTGGATTTGGCATTAGGGTAGACCCAGAATTGAATTCTGCCTCAGACACTGCGCAAATCATTTGACCTCTCCCAGCCTCACAGTCTCCATATCTGAAAAGTGAGAATAATAACAGCATCTACTTCATCAGGTTGTTGTTAAGACGAAATGAGATAATATATATAAAGTGCTTTATAAACCTTAAGTATATGTAAAGCATTTTATAAAACTGTAAATATGTTAGTTATGACTGTGATCTTGATATGAATTTCATTCTCTTGATGTGTATAGAAATTGATAAATGGATTTATCAGTTTGTTTCCTTCCTTTAATCTACTGATCCCCTGTAGCCATCATCCTCTTACTCTCTCTTCCCTTTCATGGGTAAACTCCTTGGAAAAGCCATCTACTATCGATGTCTCCACTTCTTTTCCCCCTATTCTTCTAAACTTTCATCACTCTGGCTTCTCATCTCATCATTCAACTAAAACTGCTCTCTCCCAAGTTACTAATGATCTCACAATTGCCAAACTTAATGACCTTTGTTCAGTCCCCCTTGATCTCTCTGTACCCTTTGACATGGTCCATCACTCTCCTATCCTTAATGCTCTCTAGGTTTCCATGACACTGCTCTCACCTAGTTCTCCTACCTATCTGACTGTTCTTTCTCAGTCTCCTTTGGTGAATCTTCATCCAGGTCATACCCACTAACCATGGGTATCCCCCAAGGATCTGTCCAGAGCCTTCTTCTCCCTTTATTCTATCTCACTTGGTGATCACATCAGCTCCTATGGATTCAATTACCATCTCCATGCAGATAATTATCTGATCTATTTATCTGATCCTAACCTCTCTCTTTTGCATTTCAAACTCAAAAAGATGTCCTAGAGAAGTCTTAAACTAAGCATGTCCAAAACAGAACTCATTATCTTTTCCTACCTCCCCTCCCAGCCAAAAAAACTCCACCCCTTCTTTAAAACTCCTAATTATTGTCAAGGGTACCACCATCCTCCCCATCACCCAGGCTCACAACTTTCCTTCTGCAGGAGATTTTCCTGGTCTTCGTCATTGCTTCCCCAAATGCTTCCTCCAATTTATCCTGTTTATATCTTGCGGGTATATAGCTGTTTGCATGTGGTCTCCTCTATTAGAGTGTGAGCTCCTTGAGAGGAGGGACTGTTTCTGCCTTTCTTTGTATCCTCAGCACTCAGCAGATGGCTCTTAATAAATAAATGCTCATTGACTTGATTTGATTGGACTTCATGTGAAGACCTGGATGCTTACTCTAAGCCTCCAGGATCTTCTATAATCACCATCCTTCACCCTCTGGGTCTACTACTTTAGTTACTTTATTGAGGCTTCCAGCCAGCCAAGCCTCCTCCCTTGACCTGGAGGATTGGATTTGGAGTCTGGGAAACCTGGTTTTGAATCCAGTGCAGTTATTTACTCAATGAACTTGACCACTACAAGCCTGTTTCCTCATGTACCAAATGGATTAGATGATCTCTGGGGTCAATTCCAAGAGTTCTAAATATTTGCTCCTACGGAAAAGCAACCTCTCCTTTCCCTCCCTTCTGACTATCAACTCCTTTGTCAGCTTGACTCTTCTCTGCAGATGCTGGATCCAACAGGGAGAGCGTCTGTGTAACTGTTAAGAAAGATAATTGGTTGGGGGCAATTTCCCAGGCCTCACCCAGTGCCTAGAATATCTCCTTGCCTCAGCTTTCTGAACTCTGCCTCAGGTCATTCCTCCCTCGGAAACCCTCCCACCTTCCCACCCTCCCACCCATCCACGCATCCACCCATTCACCCACCACGGCCCTATTGCCTATCCATCATTACCTGCTCCTCCCCAACCTGATAAGGCTTACTTCCTCCAAGAAGTTATAGTCACAAATCTCACCCTCTGGCATATACCAGTATACTTGTTAATAATATACCGGTTTCCTGTGTGTTTATTACATCTCCCATGTTAGTCCCAGAACATAAAAACTTCTCCTGAGTTCAAATCTGGCCTCAGACCACACGCTTGACACTTACTAGTTGAGTGACCCTGGGCAAGTCACTTAACCCCAATTGCCTTAACCAAAAAAAAAAACCAGGCTCCCAAACAGATATTGCTAAAAGCTAGGTTCGACCATGTCACCCTCCCTGCTCAACAAAGTTCAGTGGCTTTAGGATCATTTAAAGTCCTTTACAATCTGGCTTCAGGCTGGTTTCCTATTACCCTCTCTTTTTTTTCTTTTCTTTGTTTTTGGTGAGGCAATGGAGGTAAGTGACTTGCCCAAGGTCACACAACTAGCAAGTGTTGAGTGTCCGACACCAGATTTGAACTCAGGTCTTCCTGACTACAGGGCTGGAGCTCTATCCACTGTGCCACCCAGTTGCTCGTCCTATTACTCCCTATCATGGGCTATATAGTTTAGCTCAACTGGTCTATTTCTTGTTCCCACTATACTGACATTCCATCTCCTGCCTCCTATGCCTTAGCAGAGGTTCTTTCCCATCCCTAGAATGTTCTCCCTTCCCCACCTCTCCCTCTTGGAAGTCCTAGTTGGCTTCAAGGCTCAGCTCAGGTATTGCTACCTTTAAGGGCCTTTTCTGATTCTTCCAGGAAGGAAGTTCTGGGTTCAAGTCCTACTTCTGAAAGATATTCATGGGCAAGACACAACTGAGTGGCCTCGGGTATCTTTCTAATACTTGAAGTCAAAGAAGAGATGTTCATCTGCATTGGTAGAAGGAGTTTTAATATAGGGAGTTCCCCACACTGATATAATTAAAAGTCCAGACCAAGAAAATCCCCCTAAATCTTCCACATTCTACCTTCCCCTCCCTGCTGGTCCCTCTCCCCAGCCTTCTAGTCTTTGCCATTTGTCATCTCAAGCTTCTTAATTGGCTTTCCCTATCACATGGGTGGACATAAAGCTTCCAATCCCTGGGATAAGAAAAGAGGCTCCTAGGAGGGAAACAGAGAAGAAATTCCCTATCCAGAGCCTGCAGTCTGCCCTCTCACCTAGACCCAGCTCTACCTCCAGCGTTCCAGAGTGGGGTTGAGAACTATCCTTCTATCCTCTACTTACTTCTCTTTCCCACCCCACTTGAGGAAACCCCAAAGGAGAACATTGTTGGAGAGCAAGGAGGTGGCTGAAGATGGGGAGCGGTGCCAGTGCCGAGGACAAAGAACTGGCCAAGAGGTCCAAGGAGCTGGAGAAGAAGCTTCAGGAGGATGCGGACAAAGAGGCAAAGACTGTCAAGCTATTATTATTGGGTGAGGTACCAGTGGTTGGCAGGGAGGGAATGGGGAAGGGGATCATATCTTTGGCTGGCATCATTCATCCCTCCCTTCTCTGCTACTTAGCCTTCATGCCTCAGCTCTCCTGACTCTACCTCCATGGGCCCCTTCTTCCATTGATGAGTTCTCCTTGGAACCTCCATTTTTGAGAAGGGTCAGAGATCTTATTTTCTGGACTTAGCCATCATGCCCCTTTTCCCTGACCCAGATTTTCAGCATCCCTTTTATGTTTTGTGTTCCCCTACTAAAACATAAGTTCCTGGAGAGCAGAGATTTTTCTTTTTGCCTGAATTCACATCCCCAGCATTTAGTGCAGTGCCTGACACATAGCAGATACTTAATACATGCTTGTTGATGGACTGACTGCTATCCCAAGATTGTTAATTGATTCTTGCCTATTCCTGGAGAGAGGAGTTCTCTCATTCTCTCACTCTCAGGCTCTTGGCAGACAGGGATGAGAGTGGAAGAATTGGAAAACATACGAGGCCACTTGCTTAAATTCAGCACTCTTATTGGATAGAGCAGGTATCCAGCATTGAAAACTCTGACTGTGGCACCTCCCTTTTTTGGAGGAGGGATAGTTCAGGTAAAGGGACTAGACCAAAATAATCTGAATTAGAAAGGGATTCAGAATCATCTATTCCAAGCCCAATGGATGAACAGCATTTCCAACAAGTGGCCATTCAGCCTTTGCTCAAATCCTTCCAGAGATGGGAAACTTACTAACTAATCAGAAAGTTCATCCTCAGTGCTCCAAATAATGCCATGTTGAAACCAAGGATTTCAAGGTCCCAAAACCAATCTTTATCTGGCATTGATCTTGCCAAGTTGCTACAACAGAAGAAAAAAACTGGGGAGCAACAGAAATAAGAGCTCTTGGGTGGGCCCAGAAAATTGGAGTAATGGTAAGGATAGTCTTCACCTATGGTAGCCTTCACATAAAGGGGGGATTGAGGGTGCTCACCACTTGATGAATTTCCTAAGTAGGCTTGTTGTCTGAGCTACAGAAAGTCTCCCAATCTGTCTGACCACAATTACACCTGGAGTAGCTTAGCTAAGGATGGGGATAGTGGGCACAGGAGGCTGAGTCAAACTACAATGTGTTGAATCCAGGTGGAAAGCTCAGATAGGCCACAGGAACCTCAGGGTTAATTGGCTCCAGACATCACCCCTCACCCAGCCGGTGGAAAGGAGATGTTCGAGTCACTAAATGATCTTTTCTTAAGCCCAAGCAGCTTTCGGTCAGTTCAGAATAAGCTGCTTAGAGGAAAGAGGTATAATGTGGTGATGAAGGGGAGGAACAATGCAGTGAAGAAAACAGAGAATTGGAAGCAGGTGGAGGAGTAAGAAGATGGAGGCTACCTCTGAGTCTGCATCACAGAGGCCAGATTAAGGAAAAGAGCTGGAGAGAGCTCAGTGAAGAGTCATGGGTACAGAGACATGGGGACGAAAAGGGGAGCCCTGATCTACAGCCAACCATCTGAGTCAGAAAAGGAAAGCAGAGAAAGGAAGTGTAGGACATAACTTTCTCCAAACCCATCCTACCAATCTAGGTCTATGGGAGTCAAGCACAAGGAAGAAAGGGAAGAAGGAGGCAGGCATCTGGTAGGAAAAGTCCCTTCCTCCTCCTTGGGTCTGAACCCAAGGACAGCAGGGATTTTTTTTTCCAAGGGGGAGACAAAATTTTCATACAGATCCCTCTCTATGGACTGAAAAATTTACAGGGTAGGGCTCAAGGCAAACTGTTCTCTCCTTCCAGGCGCTGGGGAATCAGGAAAGAGTACCATCGTCAAACAGATGAAGTGAGTAGGAATCTAGACTTGGGAGAAGTAAGGGCATCAGGGCAGTGGGGAAGGGGGGAGAAGGGCCCAAGACATCCATGATGCAGCAGAGGGATAGTCTATCCCATTCTTCCAGACCTATAGAGGTTAACCCCAAATGGCCCCATGTGGGCCAGAGAGGGTACCAGGTATAGGTTTCCAGTCACTTGGTGTTAAGGAGTCCCTCTCTTTCTTACCCCATGTGGAAAAGCAAAAAATAGATTGAATTAGGAACTCTTTGGCTTCCCAGGCCCCCCTGAGGATTATGGTTTTGCTCTCTCTTCTAGAATCATACACCAGGATGGCTACACACCAGAGGAGTGTTTGGAGTTCAAAACCATTATCTATGGCAATGTGCTGCAGTCCATTCTGGCCATCATCCGTGCCATGTCCACCCTCAGCATTGACTATGCAGAATCATCCCACGTGGTATGTGTCCATCCAGGGTGCTGGGCATGAGTCCTACTAATGGGAAGGGGGTAAGGTGGGAAACAGGATCACTCATAAGGAAACCTCAGGATGAAGTCATCCAGGTGTGAAGGAAGCTGGCTTTGGAGTCAGAGAATCTGGGTTCAAATCTTCTCTATTACCTGTCTGTCCTTGGACAAGCCTTGGACAGACCTCAGTTTCCTCATCTACCTCATCGAAATGTTGAACCAGATGGCCTCTGAGTCCCTTCTGGCTCAAAAATCTATGATCTTATGATCTTAAGTAAAGAAAGAAAATAAAACAAAAAAAGCAACCATTTTCTTTGCATCTTGCTGAAATCCACAAAACAAGAGCCAGAAAGAACCTTAGGCCTAAATGTCTTATTTTACAGATGAAGAAACAGAGGCCCAGTGAAATGAAAAGACTTGCCTTAAGCCACACAATGGCAAATCACAAACTGGAACCTACATCTCATGACTCACAGGCCACTGCTTTGTTTTTCTTTGTGAGTCCCCACCCACCCATTACACCACACTCCCTTCTCTTGCAGTCTAAGCCCAGTATGTCTTGTTCGGTCACAGAGAAGAGCGGGTAGTCGGTCCCTTCCCTAATAACCCTTTACAAACCTAGAGGTGGTTATGAAACGTCTCCTCAGTCCTTTATGCTCTAGACAATGTATGTCTATCAATCATAATTCTTATGTATTCAAAATCTTATCTTAGTGACTCTTTTAAGATGTCCTGACCAGGAACTCAACAGGAGCTAAATCCAGGTTTCCAGAATGAAATTCTTTTGAGTTCGGGTACAATGAGAAGTTATACCCTTGTACCCTTAGCCCTTCTAGAAGGAATAAAGCCTTTAGATCCTGGTTGGCTATTACAGGGATCCCATTTTTCCCTCTCTTGGCTACCATCTTTAGACCCATCAAGGAGGGAAGCAGCACCAGGGAGTGGGCAGGAAGCTTCTACTAGCTATCAAACATATAGCTTGCAGGATCTGTTGCCACCTTCTGACTTGAGAGAGGTCATTTTAGAAGCGTCACTGAGAAAGCATTCTGAATACAAGCCCCAGCTAGAACTTAAACAGAGACTACATTGGCATTACCAACATAGACCCTTGACCTGGAAGAACTATTTCCATCTCAGAGGTTGGGAAAACTTCAAAGTCAGCAGCACCATCCTTCTGGAAGGTCCTCCTCATTAAGCACTTTCCCTGGTTCTCTCACTGGTAGGGTGATGGACAACAGCTTAACAACATGGCTGATTCTATGGAGGAAGGAACCATGTCTCCTGAACTGGTGGCCATCATTAAAAGACTATGGAAAGATGGAGGTGTGCAGGCCTGCTTTGAACGTGCTTCGGAGTACCAACTCAATGACTCTGCCTCTTAGTAAGTCTCTGATGCCAGGTCAGAACTTACCCTGGAAGGTGCCAATCACAGGACTTCACCCTTGCATCACCAATTCAACATGAATTTAGTCTTATTTTGGGTCGAAAAAATGTAGTCTAAATTTAATATTAATATGAGCCCATAGAATAATGTTACGGTCAAAAAAAGCTAATAGGCTCTTCGGCTAAATTGGGGGGCATAGCTTCCAGGAATAAGGAGGCAAAAGACCCTTTGTATTCTGCCTTGGTCAGGCCTCATTTGGACTATTATGTTTAGTTCTGGGTGCTAAGATTTAAAAAGACCCCGTGTCCTGAAGAGAGCAAATACGATGGCGAAGGGACTTGTATTCATGTCACATAAGAATTGGTCAAGGAACTGGAGAGATGGCTAAAGCCTGGAGAAGATTTGGGGTAGATATAAGCATGGTCTTCAAATATCTGAAAGACTGTCATGTGGAAGAAGGATTAGGCATGCCCTGTTTGACCAGGCCACAGTGGGTGGAAGTTGCTAAGAAGCGAATTTGGGCTGGCTATCAGGAAACACTTGGACACAATCAGAGTTGTCCCAACATGGAATGGATGGCCTTGGGAGACAGGAGGGTCCTCCTCCTTGGAAGGCTGTAAACAGAGGCTAGATGTCAACTTGTCTAGTGTGTTATAGTGGGGACTCCTTTCAGGTACGGATTAGACCACAAGGCTGTTAGAGTTCCTTCCAACTTCAAAGTGCTGTGATTCAGAAATTCTACAATGGCACATCAGGGTAGGAGTAAGAACAGAAACCCAAAGCTAAGGTCACAGAGTCATACATTCAGAGCCGGAAGGAGTCTTCAGGGTCGACGGGTCCGACCCTCCTTGCTCTATAAATGAGGAAACTGAAGCCCAGAAAGTTTAGTGTAACTTTCCCAAGGTCACAGCAGCAGAGACAGGCACTGACCCTAAATCTTCTAACTCTAGAGCTGATACTCTGTCCCAATAAAAGCTTCCGTCTGGCCCACGCCACCTTTTTTCTGCTCTCCCAGGCTCTACGTGTTAGGGAAGCAGAGTGGGCCCAGAAGTCAGAAGGCCTGGGTTCAAATTCCCTTTCTGTCGTTTACTACCTGTGTGGTATTGGACAAGGTATTTGACCTTCCTGACCTCCGTATGTTTATCCGTAAAATGGGGGAGTCGTACTAGATGGCTTCTGAGGTCCCTCCCAACTCTAAGTCTAGGTTCATGTTCTTCTACCATGCCCACACTTGGGAAGCATGTAATGGAGAGTGCCCCGCAATGGCTTGTGCAACAGTTTGCCGCATAGCACCGATTGGTGCTAAATACCAATTTATTGGTATTGGTTCCCAAGAGCCAGGAGATCTGGGGTTCAAGTTTCTGTTGTTGTTCAGTCATGTCCAACTCTGTGACCCCATTTGGGATTTTCTTGGCAAAATACTAGTCTGCCATTTCCTTCTCCTGCTCATTTTACAGATGAGGAAACTGAGGCAAACAGGGTGAAGTGACTTGCCCAGGATCATACGGCTAGTAAGTATCTGAGGCTGGTTTTGAATTCGGGTCTTCCTGACTGCAGGCTCTTCACTTTATTCACTGAGTCATCCAGCTGCCTTATTCTGCTAATTACTATTCCTACTCTACTAATTACTATTGGTGTGACCACAGACAATTCTCAATTCCCCAGTCTCAATTTCCTCTTTTGCAATTACTTGTAAATCAATTAGGGGGAAGAGAGGTACAGAAGGAGACATTCAGCAATGTCAACAAAGCAGCACATAGAAAGTAAAATATAATGACACCAAATAAATGTAGGACACGATGGAATCAGTTATGGTGTCAAAATCTACTTTTTGACTCTCTTGTAATGCCTTTCTTCCACCCATCTCCTCACTGCTGCCTGTTGAAATCCCATCTCCCAAGGCCCAACTCAGGTGTCACTCATTTGAAGATTTCCCTGAGTTAGAAGGGATCTCTCTCTCCTTGAATTTCTCATAGCACTTTGTTTGAACTTCGTGAACTCAGATTAGACAGATAAATAAAGCATTTATTATGCCCTTGCCAAGCAAGGGCAGCTAGGTGGTGCAGTGGATAGGATATTGGGCCTGGAGACAGGAAGACTCATCTTCCTGAGTTTAAATCTGACCTCAGACATTTATCAACTGTGTGAACCTGGGCAAGTCACTTAATCCTGTTTGCCTCAGTTTCTTTATCTGTAAAATGAACTGGAGAAGGAAATGGGAAACCACTCCAGTATCTTTGCCAAGACTACACAGTTGGACACACCTGAAACCACTGAACAACGTAAGCTAAGCATGGTGCTGTGTTGGGATAAAAATACAAGACAGTCCCTGCCTTCAGAGAGCTTACATTCTAATGGGGCATAACTCATAAACAGCAGCTGGAAGGGAATGGGGAGCAGAGGTCTGAATCCAGGCAAAATAAGGCAAAAGCTCACCAATCAGAGCCCAGCTGGGGTAGTTCCAGAGTTGGAGTCCAAGGTTCCATGGGGGAGGTAGAGATGAGGAACTGGAGAAGACCTGGTTTGGAGATGGCCAGGAGTATACATGTCCTTTCTTCCCTTTTAGAGCATAAGCTCCTTGAAGGCAAAGTTTGTGTCTTATTTTTGTATTTGTATCTTCAGTGCCTAGCACAGTGTCTTACACATAATAGATACTTAATAAACATTTGTTGAACTGAACTCCCTTCTCAGTGCCATCTCGTAGTCCTTTGTCCTGTTTCAAATGCCTAGAAAACCACGGAAAGAAGAAAAGTTCCAAGCCTAGCCAACCCTACTGAAATGAGGTCAGCCTTGATTTTAAGAGGCCAACGGCTAAGAGCAAAGGAGGTCCTGCCCCTCAGTTCAGCCCTTAACCTCCACCTGCTTGGGTGGAGGGAATAGCATGGAAAAGAAGAATGTCTGAAGGACTCCTTAACCTGGTATTCAGGGCTCTCCACGATTTGGGCCCAGCCTATGTGTAAGTAGTGGGTGTTAGGCCAGAGGAATAAAACTGTGGTTGCACAATAAAGAGGTCTTTCAGGGGCTCTCCAGTACAAGGTTTGTGGAAGAGAGGATATATCACAGGAGACAGAACTGGAAGGCACTTAGGGACATCTACAGCAATTCCCTCCTTTTGTAGACAAGAAAATTGAGGCTCAGGGAGCTCGAGCCATGACTTGTCTAGCATCACAGGATTAGAACCCAGGTGTTTCAAATGCTTTTTTCTATAGTACCATGCTTCTCCTTCTGTTAGTTCTGACCCTGGACAAGTTACCACCTCTCAGGCCCTTGGAAGAGGCACTGTTAAAACTGGAAATTAGGTCTGCTCTACTGCACGGGGGTGGGGGGGAGGGCTGAAATGAAAAAATGAAAGCATTTTGGAAATAAAAACTCTAGAAACGAAAGCAGCTCTTCTTGATCACTGGGTGACATTGGCACCAATTATGATCTCTTGTCTAGCTATCTCAATCAGCTGGATCGAATAACCGCTCCTGACTACCTTCCCAATGAGCAGGATGTTCTACGGTCTCGGGTCAAAACTACAGGCATCATTGAGACCAAGTTTTCTGTCAAAGACCTGAACTTCAGGTGGGTGTGCATTTCCCTACCCCCTTAGGCACACAAACTAGTTCCACACATAGGCGGGTCCACTGCCCCCTCTGGCAGCCCTAGTCCCTGACGTGGTGGAGGGCTGCCATGCTCTTCTCTAGGGGTGGCCGTATCTCCATGATGACCACGTGGGGTTTCAGGTCACAGGCAAGCAGCGTCTATGAGATAAGTGGCTTCTTTCCGCAGGATGTTTGACGTGGGAGGGCAGAGGTCAGAACGCAAGAAATGGATTCACTGTTTTGAAGGTGTTACCTGCATCATTTTCTGTGGAGCCCTAAGTGCCTATGACATGGTACTGGTGGAAGATGATGAAGTGGTGAGTATAATTTGTGCCAAGAGGCTCTAGGGCAGCCAGTTCAACTAACCCCTTGGTGACTTTTGCTTTAAGCTCTCATTCCATAATTTTCCAACTTGTGTGATTTCAACCAGTGTTCATTTTCAGAATCGCATTCTTCGGCATATTCACAAAAACAGACAGATACCCTGCTCTTGCTACTTAGACTCTAGTATCGTGCCCCTGGGCTTTAGAATTTGAGAAAGACAGTCATCTCTTTTTTAGCTCATTTTGTACCACAGGAATATAAAGGCTATAATCTCAGAGTGTTCAAGGACTGAGAACGTCACCAGGTCACTAGCAGAACCTTTCTTTTCTGCTTTTGTGTATGGGGGCAGGCAAGGGAGTTGGGGGAGGATGAAGGAATAAGGCAGAGAAGATAAAAATGATAACCAGAAAAAAAGGAAGTAAAGCTTGCATCTTTGTTCAACCTTACTAGCAGAGGTTACATAGTCCCACTTGAAGTCCAATAGAACTACCCAGGGTGAACAGAGCTAAAGGGGCTAGGAGGATATAAGCTCTTTGTTTTTATCTTTGTAGCCTCAGTATCTAACACACAGTAGGTTCTCAATAACTGTGTGTTGGATTTAATTAAATGCTTCCTGGATAGCAAACAAAATGGTAGAGTGACTTCTCAGGGTTAATTCCTATTGAACTTTAGGAATTCTGCTCAATAGGAGTGGAAGAAGGTGTCACAGTCAGGCCAGGCCCTTGCACTGAGCAATTTCAAATTCAAAAACACTGAGAAGTGTTGATTTCCCATAAGTGTATGCTCCAGAAACAGAAGAGCCATCTCCTAAACCCATTCCTTCTCTTTGTTCTCCATGGCCTCAGCCTACAAATCAGTCATCCATGAAACAGCATCTTTATTTTGAATTTATCAGTTCTAGTCCAAGATTCTCATGGGCTTTGAAGCAGTGTTAGACATCGTCTGGCTGCAGTAGATGAGCACTGACCCACTACGTACACCAAAAGCATGTGAAACTATAACTAATACAGCCTTGGACACAAGATGGTTTGTAATAGGCTGAGGTGACAATGTATATACGCATGGAACTCAGATCACAGGATCATTCTATTTAGAACCAGAAGTGAAGGGGTTCCATCTCCCACCTCATGAATCTGCCTCTCAGAAGCCCTGTCTTCATCACCCTCTCCCTTCCTCTTTTTCGGTGCATTCACCCTCTTCAGATTATCTCGTATTACACTTACGTATACAATGTATTCCGTTAGGAGAGTGTAAGTTCCTTGAGGGCAGGAACTCTTGTCTTTCTATCTTTATTGCCTAGCCCAGTGCCTGGCCCATGGTAGGTATTTAATTCTTGTTAAATCGAATTCCATATTATTTAAATCAATTTGAGCATGGAAGAGGGTTTTGGCCCTAGTGCTGAGCTAAGGTGGGTAAAGTCAACAGTGGCCTCTACCCTGAAAGACCTGCCAAGGAGTCCCATGCTCCAAAGGTAAACATACAAACACCTCTATGGGAAGTGTATCCTTTTTTTTTGTAGCATAGGGAGGGAAAGAGTTGCTTCTGGATTGCCACAGGATAAATCCACTGCCTCCTCCATTGCTGTAGTATTAGAGGTCTCCAAAGTCATCTTCTGCTATTGAGGTTTGGGAGAATTTGCCTAGAATCTGACAAATATCCAAGACCCCAGCAAGGCACCCACTAACTGGAGCCAAGTCTCAACCCCACCTATATCTGGGTTTAGTGTGTATACACTGTCACCTAAGCACAGTGCCTGGCACACAGTAAGCACTTAATAAATACTTTTTGACTTGTTGACCCAATTAACATTCAATACTTAGGGGTGGGGTTGGGATCTGAGCCCACAGCTGTGCCCACAACCCCTGCTCTAAACAATGCACAGAGGAAGGAGGGAAAGCAGAAATAGTAACACAATCATGTTTATCAGCATCTTTTCTCCTCCCCAACCATCAAATTGAGCTGGGTTCCCAGGGAGAGAAATTCCTTAACCACTCAGCAACCTGTAATACCACTGTTGACTGCTGAGCTGACCTCCTCCCTACAGCTGAAGCAACAGCATCTGTGCTTTCCCCAATAATAATCCCTGTAGGAGACAGAGATGGAGCTACTGATAACACAGCAAGGGAACACCTCCCCCCACCCCACCCCCATTTATACGAAACATTTTTTTGTTGTTCAAAACAGCTGGTTAAAGTCCAGCCTGTTCTGTAAATCCACAATTATATAGTAACTGAAACTCGGCAACAAGTTTATATGTAGCTAGATGAGATAAGAATGTCCTTGTTCCCCTCCCATTTGGAGAATTCAAGATCAAAGGATTATAGATTTTGATCTGGGAAGGTCCTCAGGGGCTATTTAATTGAACTAGGTTATTTTACTGACAAAGAAACTGAGTACCAGAGAGGATAAGTAATGTGTCCAAAGTCGCAGAGCCAGGATTCAAACCCAGATGACTCCAAATCTTTCTACCTTATCATATGCTGCCTCTCTGAAGGGAGACGCGGTAGATATCTTCAAGTAGCTGAAGGGTTATCATGATTATCATGAGGGATTAGATTTATTCTGCTTGGTCCCAAAGGCAAGAAGAGAAACCGGTGGAAGCTGAAGGCAGCCAGATTTCAGTGGTAGAGCTATCCCCCAGTGGAATGGGTTGCCTAAGGAGATGGGTTCCTTCTCACCCCAGGCTTTTTAAGCAAAGGCAGAGAGATGACCAGGTGTTGGCAATGCCGCTGGGAGTTCCTGCTCAGTTACAGGTTGGCCTAGATGGGACTGCTAAAGTTTCTCTCCATTTTGAGATTGTGAGCCTTTAAAGAAAGACAAGATCTCAGTTTCAGCTGCTTCTCTGCATGTTTTGTTCTTTCTCTAAGGGGGGGGGGGGGGGGGTGGCCAGGGACCAGGTGTGAAAGGTGCTTCTCTTCTTCTCTGACTTTTTCTTCCACCAGAACCGCATGCATGAGTCTCTGCACCTGTTCAACAGCATATGTAACCACAAGTTTTTTGCTGCCACGTCCATCGTTCTCTTTCTCAACAAGAAGGACCTCTTTGAGGAGAAGATCAAGAAGGTTCACCTCAGCATTTGCTTTCCTGAGTATGATGGTACATATCAAAGGCAGTAGCAGTGATGCTGAGAACCCTTGGCTAGCAGTGGGGGGGGGGGGGGGGGCTTCTGGGGGTTTCTTATGCAAAAGGCTAAGATTCCCAACTTGGGGCACAAAGAACTTGGATGAAAGTGAGAGGCACAAAGGTGCTAATCAGTTGCTTCTGAAAGAGGTGCAGATGTTAGATGTTCTCACTATTTTTTGCAGATGGGATTATCTGTCCAACTATTATGTGACCAAAGAGGCAGATAAACCATATTGTGCAAGCCCTAATTCATCCCTTCCCTGTTTCCCCCCCCTCCCCCGGAAAACCAGGTAACAACTCATATGAGGATGCAGGAAATTACATAAAGAACCAGTTCCTTGACCTAAACATGCGAAAAGACGTCAAAGAAATCTACAGTCACATGACTTGTGCAACAGACACACAGAATGTCAAATTTGTGTTTGATGCGGTTACAGATATCATCATCAAAGAAAACCTCAAGGATTGTGGGCTTTTCTAGTTCTCATCAATCAGCAGGTACACATCGGAAAAAAACAGACTGGGCTGGACTACTGTTTGGGAAATTTGGATAATTTGAAGCGATGGGTTGGGGAATCAGAAATCACAGGCCACTGTATGATGGGTGTATTGCTTGCCTTCTCAGTGGGTGGGGGAGGGCCTGGAGGGAGGAACAGAATTTGGAACTCAAAAAAAATTAATTTTTTTAAAAAGATTAAAGGCTAAGCTTTAACATGTTTACAAAAAAAGAAGAGAAATGATAGGCCAGTCAGTACTCAGGGACAAGTACAGTGCAGCCATTCTCCATCAGAGGTGGAGCGTGCCTAATTGCTTCCTCCACAGCATTCTGTGGCAACATCTTGGCATTATCTGCTGAGGGCGAGGGTTATTAGAAACTAACGGACTTTCGGGGCTTCCTCTAAGTTTTCTCTTATGATTTCACAGTGGAAGAACACAGACAAATGGTGCCATTTTTAAAATTCACCACTCAGTTTTGCGGGACGAGGCATTCCAAAAAACATCCTCCAATCAAAACAGCCTACACAATGCCCACCACTCTGCATGTTTTCACATACTACATTCTTTGGAGACCAAGCCCTCAGTCAAGTTTTGCAAATCTATTAGCTTTCAAGGCATCCACTAAGAAATTATGTGATTTTTTTTTTTTAAGTCACACTTGGGAAAGTGTGATGTGAAGCTGTGGTTCCCATTTTTTTTTTTTTAATAAAACACTAAGGCAAGCACACCAACTAGTCCAAAAGTTACATTCATTCTAAATGGGCTGAGGAAATGGAAATGACTACATCAGCAGCCAAGAACCTTGGCATTTTCTATACTTTTTGGGGGGCAAGGAAGAGTGGGTTCAGACATGTAAGAAGGAAGCTTTGGGTATGTGAATTCTTTCCAGTACACAGCAACAACTTACAGTCAGTTATCTGGAACAATGAGAGGATGATTTGCTCATGGTTGCAGAATCAGAATGTTAAGAGGTGGGACCAGAATCCAGATCCTCTATCCACTACATAACACTGGTTTTTTAGGTACATAATGGTTGTTTAAATATTGTTGTTGAATATTGTAGTGAAAACAATGAAAGGAGACTCATCCAAAGAGCCATATAGCAAGCAAAAGGTTAGATAGTACCCTAGGAAAGGTCTAGAACCACAAAGATCAAAGCTACCCATAGACGATACCCTTTACCTCTCACACACGTCTCGTATATTCAGTGGCTTTGAACTCTTGACCATTATTTTTCCAGTTATGCAAAATACATGAGCATTCGAGAGAAGCTGATTTTGGTTTCAGCAGAAATGAAACCAGAGAATTATATGTGTTAGAGCTAAAAGGGACCTTAGAGCTCATCTAAGTGCAACCTTCCTTATTTTACAAATGAGAAAAACTAGGCAAAGAATCTAAGTAGCTTGCCCATTGCTGGCAAATGACAGAGCTGATACTCAAACCCGGGTCTTTTTGTCACTCTGTAGAACAATGGATAGTTTCTGGGGTTTCCCACTCTACATTCCCAGCTCTCTTCAGAACTTGAGAAGAAAGTGTACCTTTATGTTCTAGCTTTTCATATACCAATCACGAAAAACTTTCATTTCAACTACTGCATGTTCCTAGAGAACAAAAAGGCAGAAAGTGCTGATTTAGGCAACAGAAATCTCTGTAATAATGCCCACATAATGTTGATTGCAAACAAGTCATATCCCCAGTCAGGTCAAGGAAACTGCTCCCTTGAACTCCATGGGGGGGATGGAGGAGGAGAAGAAACCTTGGAAATAACACGACAGGAGGTGTTTAAGTACCATCCAGATTTAGCAACTGCAAATACCAGTAAGGAATGTTCTTGGCAGCCAAGATTTAGGATATAAAGGAAAGCGTTGATTAAGATGAAAACCTGCCCCTCGCCAGAAACACACATTCACACTTTGTCTGCTACTACCAATACGGATACTATGGAGTCATATGAGCCTAAGATTCACTGAAAAATAAATTTATAGTTGTTAAAATTTTTGTATATTTAATGGTCTTTTCCTTTTTCCATTTCCCAAAAAAGATATTTGTGAGCAGAATCACCACAGAATTAAGTGAAAAAAATGCTCAGACTTTTTTACAACCTTTGAGACACCCATACTTGTACAGACCTCCAACCCAAACTCACTCAAAGTAAGCTCTTAGTTTTCCCAATTTCCATGAAATTCTAGCTTATTTTTTGATTACTGTGACTTTTAAACACACACACATGCACACTTTCACATACACGCTGGAAGTTTAACACAGCTGTTCTGAGACCCTTCCTGATCAAATCTCAAAAAGGAGTATGCAATTTAAAGTATAAAAATATTTAGGTTTCTTTGTGTCCTTAACAACTCGTATCACTACTGATGTGGCAGCAGGCTGGGGTAGTAGAAAACAGTCAAATTTGGAAAAAAGACCAGAGTTCAAATCCAAGTTCTGCCATTAACCACCTATATGACCCTGGACAGGTCACTTACCTTTCTCATACCTATTTTCTCATCAAAAAATGAGAGGATTGAACTGGATGACCTCTGAGGTCCCTTCCACTTCAATCTATGCTCCATTCATATTACATCATGACACTCTCTTAAGTGCAAGAATCATAACTAAGCTAACCTTTAGAGTACCAAGCACAGAGACGTTTAATGCTTTTGAGAACAATAAACTATATGTAAGCAAAACTGAAGCTTAAATCTTTATACCAAAGTGTCTCAAAATATCAGAAATACTACTCTGTGGTTTTCTGGTTAAGAGAGCAGGAAATGAAAATCAAGAATCTTAAACAACAGACAAGAAACTCTTGACCTGTAATAATCCTTACTCTTGACGTGAAATCCACCAAAACCCCGGAATCAGTTTTCCTTACTAGATACTGTGGACAGAATAGACACGACTGAGAACACTGGGGGTGTGCTGCAGTTCAAAGTGTGCTAATCGTGGTGGATGAAGTACTAACAGGGCAAGGATGAGCTCCTGCCTTACCTTTCCTGCTCTACTTGCCTCACTGCCAGAGCTGATCACAGCATTGCTTCAGTGTTGGACCTTGAATCTCCAGCATGTCTAAATCTGCATTCTTGTAGTCCAGCCTGGTTGAGAGGGCAAAGAGGTTTTCTGGGTAGACAAATAAACAGGAGGCCGGGGAGAGAGATTTACTGGCCCCTTAAGCCAATTGAAGATAAGCAAGAATTGGATTTAAATCTAAAACAACTTTCTCTGTCCCACTTAAGTCAAAAAAGTAGAATAACAATGCACAAGCAGAATTCCATTTTAGTCTTCTACTTGTGGTATGATAAGAGGAGAAAAAAGGCCCTACAACTTGACATATTTTAATTATTTGGACTGATCAGAAACAGATTAACTCTTGGACTAAGGAGAGGTCTCAGGAGCTTGGTGGAGTAGTGGATAGAGTGCTAGAGTTGGAGTCAGGAAGACCTAAATTCAAATCCTGCTTCAGAGAGTTACTTGCTATATGACTCTGGGCAAGTCACTTACCCTCTATCTGCCTTGGTTTACTGACCTGTAAACAAGAGGTCTGAACTCGAAGGTCCTCTAAGGCCTCTTCAAGACCTAAGTCTGTGATCCTGATTCTAAGACTCCGTAACTATGAAAGGCTGAAAAGGTCAGAGGGCGGCATGGAGATCTCCCCAGTACTCAAGGTGATCAAGTATTTGGCCCTAATAAAGGATGAACAAGAGAACTGAAGATCACTGGGATGAGAAACTAAAATGTACCTGCCAAACCAACGAGACTCCTTCCAGTTTAGGAGCCTTCTAAATTACAGAAATGACCTGCCCCAAGCATTGGGGTGAGCTGTATCTAAGAAATACATGTCAGATGTAAGAAACAGCACAGATGCCACTTAAATTCAAATTCAGCACTGGCATTGGCTAGCTATATGACCGTGGGCAAGTCATAACTTCTCTAACCCTGTCTTTCTGTAAAATGGGGACAATAAGAAATGTCCTATCTATCACAGGACAATCACAAGATTGTTATGAGCTTCAAGTGATAGTGTATGGAAAGTATTACATAATTGAGTTATTTTTATCCCTTTTGCTGATCCCACTAGTTTTCAGAAAGACAAAAAAAAAGTAAACATCAGGATTTGCAAAGTCCTTTATAACCAGTTCCCCTCCCTCATCCATACCATCCCCTTCTACTGAAGACAAAAATAAAGGAACGGCAGACAGAACATGGAAGCAACATTGCCAGAGGACAGCAACCCCCCTTTATCTTCTCAGTGATTCTGCGGATTTTCTTTGATCTTTTCAGTTTATCATGATATTGGCTTTTACTCTCATATAGCTTCTACTGAATAGCACATTAATCCAAAAAAAAAAATTAGTAACACTGAGTTTTTTTAAGTTTCTTGTTTATTTTTCTTTTTAAGTAGTATTATTCTAAAATAAAAATAATAGCTAACATTTGCATAGTGCTTACTTACTACGTGCCAGGCACTGTGCTAAGCTTTACAATTACTGTTTCATTTGATATTCACAATGACCCTGGGAGGTAGGTGGTATTATCATGCCACTTTATAGATGAGGAAATTGAGGTAAACAGGAGTTAAGTGACTTGGGCCAGGGTCACACAGCTAATAAGCCTCTGGGCCAATATGTTAACTCAAGTCTAGGTGGTACAGCGGAAAGAGCACTGGGCCTGAAGTCAGGGAAGCTCCCAGTTCACATCCAGCCTCAGACAATTACTAGCTGTGTGACCCTGGGCAAGTCATTTAACCCGTTTGTCTCAGTTCCTCACCTGTAAAATAGGGACACACTGGAGAAGGAAACAGCAAACCATTCCAGTATCTTTGCTAAGAAGACCCCAAATGGGGTCACAAAGAGATGGACAAGACTGAAAAACAACTTCCTAATTCCAGGTTCCGCACCGTATCCACTCCACCACCTACCTGCTCTAAGTATGGAAGAATGCTGCATTTTAGAAAGAAAAAAGCAGGCACTTTTCACTAACTGGTTCCACATTAATTTTTTTGGTGGGAGAAAAGCATCAAGCATATATCTCTACAAACCGGAAGCAGGAGCTTATTTGTTAGTGAATTCTGAGGGAATTAGTTGCCTTATAAAGTTCTTTTTGATGCCCTCCTAGCTACCCTTTAGTTACTGGCATATTTCATTGGCCTCTAGTGATCTCC